TTCTACCCCCACCCCCTACACAGTTTCTCAATGGCAATTCCTTTGTAGGAAACCTACTTTTCTGTCTAAGTATGGATATGCCTGCATGTAGATTTAATTTTCCTGATCACAAATCACTGGACTTCTTATATCTCAGGATTCTTGTATTTTACCAATTCTAAAAATCTTAAGACTTTTTTTTTGGGGGGGGGCATCCTCTTATCTCCCCACCTGAAAATAGTTATTATGTATTTATTGGATTTTTTATTTCTTTCTTCCATGTCGCTTAACATCTCTTTTATATTTTCCATGTGTTTACCTCTCCATTTTACATTTTAAGTAAGTTCTGTAGATTTATCTATATCTGATTTATTGTTCAACTTCTACATTACATATAATTTAATAAACCATTTCTAGAAGTGATTCTTTTTCAACTCTGCCTGCTAATTTTTTACAGTATCCTTTACTTTCATTTTGCCTTCTAATCATAGTTTTGAAACTTTTTAACCATTAACCATTTTTTTAATGTATAAATTTTATGGTCTTTTTCAGATTGTTCTACTATCCAAAATCTGGGGTCATGCTAACCCTTTTGTCTAATTTGTCTGCTGAATCTCACTTAAAAAGATAATTTCCTCATTTCATTTCTAAGTTTTTATGGGCTTATTGTCAGTTCTTAAAAAGTATTAAATTCACTGCCCCCCCCCCCACACCAGGGAGTCCTGTTTGTCCTGAGTGTAGAATTCTTTCCTGCTCAATATTATTAATTTCTTTCCACCAGTTACCTCAAGGGGGTTATTGTTCTGGAACCAGATATTTCTCAGTTTTAAATTTCTGCATGTAGGATATGAATTTGGATATTATAACTGCATATTATATTAGCTTAGAGCTTCAATTTCTCATGATAGGTGTTTTTTTTTATTTGTTGTTTACATCTGTATCCCTAAGATAAATTTTCGTATTCTTTTCTTGGACCAGTAGGGGGAGTATGTTTATTACCTCTTATACAGATGGGCTGAACCTTCCCAGGTGATGGTTAAATTGGGTCTCAGTTCTCATCTATATGTCCTGGCTCCACATGGCATTATAATCTCAGCCAATTACTAAACAGTTCTCTATATAAATCCTATAGCTCTCACAAATACACTTTTTGAATATGACTCCCTCTTGCTGCTGGCTGAAAGTTTCCATTTCAAATCCATTTGAATTCACCTTGTCATCCTGCTGAAACCCTAGGAGCCAGAGTGATCTTTGAAAGTATTAATGACAACACATCATTCCATTATTTAAAAGTATTAGAGAGTTTCTCATTGTGCTTGGAATAAAATGTAATCTGTTTCTCTTGGTCTATAGAATCTTTCTTAATCAGGTCATGCCTATGTTTCTAACATTGTCCCATGTAACTCTTCCTCTGGCTTATTCACTATGCTGTAACCACATTGGCTTGCTTTCTTTTCTTGAACACTTCAAGTTCCCTTTCCTAAAACAGTTTTTCCACAGGATCCCACCCTTCAGTGGTCCCTGACCATCACATTCTCTATCACATCATGTTCATTTTCTTCATAGTACTTGACACAATCTGTTCTTATTTTGTTAATTTATTCATTTATTTTATGCCTCCTCCAAATAGAATGCATGCTCCATGAGGAAAGCAACTTCATCTTGGTAATTTCTCTATACTCAGCATCTAACACAGTGGCTGATACACAGTATGTAGTGAATACATAAATATATGTTCAATGAGGATGGAAGTAATGTTAAAATCTTCTAGTTCAACTTCTTGCATTTATAACATGTAAAATGAGCTGGTAAAAGAGCTGAGAAAGATTTGAGAATATGCCCATGATCACAAATGTTTAAAGTGATACCTAAGCCCTAACCGGTTTGGCTCAGTGGATAGAGCGTCAGCCTGTGGACTCAAGGGTCCCAGGTTCAATTCCGGTCAAGGGCATGTACCTTGGTTGCGGGCACATCCCCAGTAGGGGGTGTGCAAGAGGCAGCTGATCAATGTTTCTCTCTCATTGATGTTTCTAACTCTCTATCCCTCTCCCTTCCTCTCTGTAAACAATCAATAAAATATATTTTAAAAAATAAAAAAAATAAAGTGATACATAAACCAAGTACTCAGGTCTCCCGATTCTCCACTGGGGATAGATGACCCATATTAGGAATTTGGGAAGACAATGGAGAATACAGGGTGATCCATGACCTCCATCACACTTAAATGATAAGTTTTGTGGAATGTACACATATTAATTTTTCTGGAAAGGCATACTATAGTTTTTATCCACTTTTCAAAAGGATCAAAGGACCTTTTAAATCTTAAAAACTGCTGACCCACATATTGTTCACAAACTGCAAGTTGCTTGCATGTTTTCTCTTGTCTTCATATCATTTCTTCTATTCATAAGAATTGAACAATTGATATGAATTAAGTATCCACTATATTGTCAAAGGATGTAGTTTCATGACTTGTATCAAAATGTTGTCGACTATAGCTAAAGTGTTTGGTTCTGAAGCTATAAAATCATTTGGCACATAATTCTGGGGGTACTCTACCAATTTTATTTATCCATACTGGCAGTATGAGAACCCAAACATTGGCTATGGTTGCATATACCTCAGTATTTCTTTAGCCATATCTCTAGTACCCATTCCAATACATACTGAAGAATAAATAATTTCTCATTCTAATTACTTTGCTGTGTTGGAAATGAGATCATTTGTAGGATAAAATTTTATTCTGGAGAACTGAGCTGGGATGCTGAACAGATTGGTCAATATGTGTATAGAAGTAGATTTTTGGATTTTGAATACACACAGGGCTCCTCCATACTTTTTCAGAAATATTTTGTTTCTGTTAAACCAGCTATGTGTATAAAATGGCCCAGGGAATGAGGAGAAAGAATATTGTCTATGCAGTAGATGTCAGTAGCATATCTTCCCAGGCCATGAACCATACCTCCTTCCTTCCCTGAAGACAAGCCCTCGACTCAGAGGCACCTCACTCCTCAGCCACTGAGAGTGGGAGAGAGTGGCCAAAGCTGAGCCCAGTATGCACTTTCTTTTAGAAATCAGGATTTGAGGTTCAGAGACAGGACCATTTAATTTCTCAGACACCTATAACTCTACCTATAAATTTGAAAATGCAGAAACATGTATTTTACCATTTCTATGTAAAAAGAGAAAGATGAAGACAGGTAAGCTTAAAAAATAAAAAAAAAGTTTCCTTCGTTTCTGACAACTTTCCTTACAATTACTCTTTCCCCCTACATAGATTAGGCTGATTTCATTATATAATTTTGAAATATAATTTTATATTTTTATAAATATAATTTTTTTATTTTTGTAAAAAATAAAAGCTAAATATAATTTTTTATTTCCTGTGAATGATTTTTTGTTTTTGTTTTGTTTTGTTTCTTTTATTTGTATGCTTGGAGGCATAATGTGTATAAGTGCTGGAGTCAAATAAACCAGTTTTGCATGCTGATTCGATCACTTACCAGTTAATTGCAATAATTTAGAAATACTCATACTAATGTATTGTTTATCTGAAATGCAAATTTAAAAGGATATACTTTATCTGGCAACTTTATTTGTGACATAGTTTCTTTCTTGTAAATTCTATAATAATAAAAGTGCAATATGCTAATTAGGCTGGTCATCCTTTTGGATGTCCTTCTGGACAACCTTCCGGATGAAGCTGGGACTGTGAGGGCCAAGGCAGCCGCCACGGCTGCAAGAGCTGAAGGCAGCCACTGTGGCCGTGAGGACTGAGCCCCTTTCACGAATTTCGTGCATTGGACCTCTAGTCTATATATATAAAAGGCTAATATGCAAAGTATCCCCTTGGGAGTTCTACTGAGAGACCGGAGTTTGATCGCTCTCTATGACATGCTCTGACCACCAGAAGGCGGGGCGGAACAAAGGAAGGCCCAGCTGGAAGCCAGAAGGCCCCAATCGGCCCTGATCACCAGTCAGGCCTAGGGACCCTACCCATGCACAAATTTTGTGCACTGGGCCTCTAGTAGAGGTAATAATACCTAATCAGCAAAGATCTTGTTAAAAATGTCAATGATATAGTAAACATTAAGTAAAACAATTTATGAGAAACATGGTTTTTTTCTTTCCTCTTTCCTTCCATCTATCTGGTATCTATGGTGCAAGCAGGCATTGCTTACGAAGCTCATCATTACAAGACCACCAATTGGGAGTAAATACTTTCTGGATGTGCTGAACTTTTCTTTCCTATGTTAAATACCTGGATGAAATGACTTAAGTTAAGATGAGGTTTATAGAGCAGTGGATTGATTCCTTTTGGAATGTGTTTGTTATATGTCTTTATTCTTGATTTAGAAAATTTGGAAAGTTATATATTTCATTTTACTTGACCTCACCCAGCCACTCCATCCCAAGATATTTTAATATTCATTCTTGTGTTAGGGATATACTAAGGTCTTGGCTTTACACAAATTGGTTTCTAATTCAAAGGAGCATCTCTCCATCTTGTTTTTCTGACCTCCTATAGCAATGAAGAAAGAAAAAGTATGAGAAAAAAAGAGAGAAGAAAATAAAATACTAGTTTACTGTTTGCCAGTTTGAGGAGAAAGAATGTAAGATTTTTTATTTGGGGGCTCTTTATTTCTTGTCTTCTGTGTTTACATCCTTCTCATTTTTATTTTGATTGCTGATATTCTCTGACTGGGGGAACCCAGAAATGCCTGAGGATTTCTTTAACAATGCTCAACCTAACACATTTTCTTCTCAAGGGACACAGAGCAATGAACTTCCTTACAGAGGCATTTTTAAATCATATATTTTTTATTTATTTATTGCACCAGATCCAGCAGGATTGGATCAGCCTTTTGCTTCTTCCCAAATAGTGTGGGCTTGCTAATCAACCATGAAGCAATGGGCATGACAATGGCATGCTTCCATTCTTATTTTTCTTGTTCAAAGTCACCATTTCCAGAGATGCCTTATAAATAGCAAGCTAGGAGCTTGTGGAGAATATCAGCAGGTCAAGTTTGAATAGGCACAGGTAGCCCCTCAGGGGGCTCCTTCATGTTTTCATTTTCCGGATGTGTCCGGGGTGATAGTTCACCACTCTGAGTAAAAATGGATTGCTTAGAATTACCAAGGGGGGTAGTTTTTGGCTCCCATAAATGGACTGGTGTGTTCGATAGCTGTGTTGTCGTCTGGCCAACTGGGTTGGCTGTGGGAGGGTTATTTATGTCTGCAGATGCCTTTGAGGCCTGTGGTACTATATTTATATTTTCACGAGAACCTGGATGTGAAGATTTATCCTTTCCATCACAATAAATGTTGAAAGGGATGGCACAAAACACAAGATCCGAGGGCAGCAGATTAAACTCATTGTCTGGCCGGATAATCACAAACCTGTAAGAAAAGGCAAAGATGAGTCAGAGCCTCCACAGCTGGAACAGGGTGGCAACAGGCAATGGCCAAAGTGCAGCAGTCATCTTGATGGGCCCAAAGAGGGAATGTTGCTGTTTCACTTTGCTTCATTGTTGTTGTTTTTTGTGTGATTAGTGTGTCTGTACTGGGAGACTAGTGTAGTCAGAGTGGTCCTTGACTAGAAACTGGGAGACTAGTTTTTATCCCCACCTCTGACACTAACCACTCTTATACACACCATTTCCATTCTCTGGGCCTTGCTTTTCTCATTATTTTAACGGGAGAGGGATATGGCTGTGGTTTGGACTGATAGAGCTCTAAAGACCTTTCTGACTCCAGGCTTCTTTGTTTTCAATATCCACTACACTAAGGACTTCAGCTGGCACAATACTGAGCTTAATCAAAAGTGGGCAATTATGTGCACTCCCAATATTTCCATCCTGACTTGGGCCTACCCTAATGCTTATGCCACCAACTTTCACATAGAATGTAGTTTGATCAATGAGGAAAAGAAACAAAAATTAAAGTAAAGTTGTATTTGAAACCTTGACTGGTATGTAACTAGTGAGTGTTGATGAGCCTTAAAGAACACCCAGAGCCTGGACCTGCATGGAAAGAATGCAGGGAGGCAGGATGCCTTACACAGTATCAGGCACAGAGCAAATCCTCAATGCAAGTGAGTTACATTAACTAATACACCAGTGCTCATGTCAGAATGCCAAGCCAGGATAACCTTTCATGACTTTCATCCTGTGTGTCTTCATTGCCACCCCAGGTGATCACCTCTCCTTTCCCAAACACCAATCTCAATTCAAGGTTGACTTTCTTTTACTGAATAATCTTCCCACTTTTATCTTTTCCACTGAATCCCCTGTAACCTCTATAATATCCTAAACAAGGTCAACTATAATCACATACTCCATATAAAACAGAAATCTCATTTCCTTCCCTGAGGTTCTCTCAGGTATGGACGGCATATTCTCCCAATTACCATGTGCCACAGGTTTGCCAGAGGTGTCAGGGGAGGGGATGGAGTTCAGGCAGAGAAAGGGAGGGCTGGAAGACAGAGAGAGAGACAGAAAGAGAGAGAGAGATCCACATTATTCATTCTCCCCAGTGCTGCTTCCAGAACATCACTGCCTCCTCACCATCTTTGTGGTTAGGGCTCTACAGTCCTATCACCCTCCCTCTTGATTCACCGGTGTCATCTATAGCCCTACATGTTTATTTAGGCCTTTGGCACTTGGGACACCTCAAGCCAGTGCCTCCATCATCTCACACACCTCTATGTGGTTTACAAATCCAACATACAATCATATTTTTTTGACTTCCACTACACAGTGATCTTTATCTCCAAAGCACACTTTCCTGGACACACACTGGATATTATAATATCCTGACATGTCTCACCTCTAAAATCTTATGCTTCAATATATTACTGTCCGACAGTAACTTCCTATCACTCTTTCACTCTCATTCCCATGCTGAGTACATCTACTCTTTAACTTCATCAAGACTTCTAATCCTTTGTCCTTTCACATTACAGTCTACAATTGCTTCTACAGATCCACAGTAAACCTCTCCTACCATTCCTCTCATAGTTAATCTAAACTCTTACCTATTTCTCCACTCCCGGTAATACTTCCTCCTCCATCTTTCCTCTCAGCAATGGCTATCCCTGTACTTTACTGAGAAACCCTAGTGTTACATTAAAAATTCCCTTAAGCACCCCCCATCATCTATAGCTAAATTTGCTTGGCATCCATTCTTTTCCTTCTTTTCTCCTATGAACAGAGAGATGATCGTTCCTTCTATTCAATACTACTCCATTTTGAGTAATTTGGCTGCTTTCCCCTTCTTCCTGAATGAGTTTCTATCAATCTATTTCCACTCTAATATTTTTAATTTTTCCTCCTCTATGAACTCTTATCCATTCCCACTGTGTGAATCTTAGATCAGACCTACATTACTGTGTTGTTGTATACTGTTGTATACTCTCTTTTCTCCTCCTGTCCTCTATGTACATTTCCTGCATCTTCCCCATTGTTGTCAGATTGATCTTTCCTTTACCTTAAATTTGAATATATAATTTCCATAATTAATATGTACGAAGCACAGTGGCTGGAAATGAGGCACTCAGTAAATATTTACCTAAAGAATTCAGCATAAAATAAGTAAATCTTTCCAATGTGAATAGTGGCATTTAGCTTTAAAAAATTACATAGTCAAGGATGGGTTAAGTTACAAAACAAAACAAAACAACAACAAAACAAAACAAAAAACACAGAAAAAATAACCGGATTCAAAATCTGGGTCTACATTTCAGTTTTCACTAGGGACAGAGATGCCATTGTTACATGGCTTATATTAGAACATAATTACCAGGATTTATTCATGTCGTTTACATGCATTCTTCCTTATTCCTACACCATCATAATCTACTTCCTTGCACCCTTCTTTGCAACTGTGGTATTCTGAGTTCTGGACCTCTCTTTCACATAGAATATAGCAGCTTTGGCTTTTATGCTTGGATGCGCAGCTAGCACTTTCCAAACTAGCATACTCCCCTTTTGTGCTCCGGATTGTGCTCCTGGTCATCTATCAGGCGGTATAGGCCAAGGCATAGGATTCCAAAATTATTCAACAAGCCACAGAAAACTTGCCCAAAGGTCTTTTTTGGCTGGGGAGAGAAGAGAAAAACATGTCTATTGGCACTTTAATGAAGCAATGACAAGCCCTACTGGAGTGTCATTTGCCTTTACTTGTAGGGTTTGGAAGACCTGGACATCATCTCCTAACATCTATACGGTAGCAGCATCAAGTGGCTTGGAAGTGAGGCTTATGATTAGTTTTGAGCGTCTAATCCCAGTGATTGTGTTTATCACTCTGGTCTTTCAAGAGTGTCTGGTGTGGTGTGGCAAGTCCTTACGCTCCTCTTTAGTACCACTGTGATTTTGGTTACCATTAGGAAGTCACAATGAACAACAGGTTGGAACATTCCATTTTCAGGGTACATAAATAGGGTGTTAAGTGACCTCCAGGGAGCGATCTTCTTATCCCACTCTACAACAGATTATAGCTCCAAGCACTGCTCTTGACACTGCTCTCAGGGTACAGCCAACAAAGGCTCTGCAAGTGCACAGCAGGTTCAAAAGCAGCAGCTAATGGGTTCAGTGAAGTAAAAGAGAGCAGTCTTTCAGTTCTCCCTAGAGCAAAGGACAAGGTGAGGACAAGACCTAAGTGGAGAAAAAAAGACGTGTGTTGACCAGTCCACTGTCACCTCTGATACTGACAGGAAATTGCCAGTGCCTGTTGTCCTGGGCATATAATCACTCACAAGTCAACCTTTGGTGAGGAACCCAGGACCACAAGAGGACAAAGGACCACACTCTATTGAAGGAACTCTGGAATGTTGTTTGCACCTGGAAGTCAGATGCACAGAGCCCATATCTGTTGAGACATACCAGGCACAGAGGCTTGGAAGAGACTGCCTCTTGTGAAGGGGGTTCTGCTGATGTCCTCTGAACCAACAAAAGATGTTTCTTTAGGAAGGCCTGCCCCTACAGTTACACTGCAGAGCTGAATTCAGTGTCAATGCAAACTAAATCCAAAAGCACCACACTGATCAATAGATTACTCACTCCCAGGCTGCACTCAACTCTGACCCCCAAATGCCAGGTGCTCCACTGGAGTCTGCCAGAACGGTTATCTGCTACCAGTCTACTGTTCACCAGGCCAGTGGGATAAGAAAACTCAAGCCTTTTCTGCTGGCTAGCCCAATCAGTTGCCTGATTTCCGCTGACCTGATCAGATTTCTTTAGTGTTTCAGGTATAAGGAGAGGGGGAAGAGCTGGGTCAGGTTGCCTTAGAGGCACCCCTGCTTTGTCACTGGTAGACAATGTGGTCTCAGGTGAGCATTTGTTTCCCTGGCCCTTAGCTTTTTGATCTATGCAGTGGGACTAGTAACAATGTTTACCATGCAAATCCTCAGACAGATTAAGTTGGGGGACAAAAGCAGTCAGACACAAGAGGAATGCTTAGTAAATATTAGCTGTTACAATTATTATTGATACCCTTGTCAAAGTACAAGTTATTGGACCTCTCTGATGCTTCCTGAAGACTTGGATTTTTTTATCTGGAAGATGGGGATAATAACAACTGCTTTACCCACCTCCCGGCATTGTTAAAACAAATATGACACAGGTGAAAATGCACTGAAATACTCTTTGAATATGAGTTGTATTAATTTGTTGTTGTTATTGTTATTATTTCTGTGCTATAAGCTATCTACGGACCCAAATAGCCTAGACCACTTTCATAAATTCGAGACAAAAAGAAGCAGGAAACTCACTTTAATATCCGACAAAATGGTTTGTTTTAAGGACAGAAGCCCCAGCTTACAGCGCTTCCTTCTGGACAACAATGTAAAGCAGCTGTTAGAAGGCCTGCATACTATTTCCTTATCCAAATATTGTTCCATCTGGGAGCTTATCCCTCCTGTCACCAGCATGTGAAGGAGCTCCAGGACATTATAATTGTAGAAGGCCTGGAAAGCAAGGACAAGTCATGTGTTAACTCAGAAGAGCCAACTCCTAAACAGTGGATTTGTATAGTCTTGAAGAAATAGACCCGATGGTGCAAAGCAGTGTCTCTCATTACCATTATTAAAATTAGCTAAAAGCTGGCAGTGTGGATAGGGTGCTGGGTTAGGCAATGTGCAGAGAAAATAACACTGACCTAGTTCCTGCTCTCTTGGGGGTTATACTATAATGAAGAAAGAAATGGGTAATTATACTGACACCAAGTATATCCCCTCTCCCAAAAACGACTAGAGGCATATGCCAGGCCACAGATACCCTAGTAATCATCTACATATATTTAAAACTAAGGCCCGGTACGCAAAATTTGGGCACGCCCTCTCGCTGTCCAGGAACCATTGGGGGATGTCCAACTGCCAGCTTAAGCCCACTCCCTAAGCCATCAGTCAGATATCCTTAGCGCTGCTGTGGAGGCAGGAGAGACTTCTGCCACCAGTGCTGTGCTTGCCAGCCATGAGCCCAGCTTCTGGCTGAGCAGTGCTCCCTCTGTGGGAGCGCACTGACCACCAGGGGGAAGCTCCTGTGTTGAGCGTCTGTCCCCTGGTGGTCAGTTCACATCAATTAACTGGTTGTTCTGCCGTCAGGCTGAAACCAGCTCTCAGACATCCCCTGAGGGGTCCTGGATTGCGAGAGGATGCAGGCCAGGCTAAGGGACCCCACCAGTGCATAATCAGGGCTGGGGAGGGATGCCAGAGGTTGACCAGCCAGGAAGGGACCCTGGGAGGGCTCCAGGGCATGTCCAGCCCGTCTCGCTCAGTCCTGATCAGCTGGACCTCAGCAGTAAGCTAACCTACTGGTTGGAGCATCTGTCCCCTGATGGTCAGTCCGTGATATAGCGACTGGTGGATTGGTCGACTGTCTGGCCCCTGGTGGTCAGTGCACAGCATAGCGACTGGTCGACCAGTCAACTGTCTGCCCCCTGGTGGTCAGTGCTTGTCATAGCAAGCAGTTGAGCAGCCTTAGCATATCATTAGCATATTACACTTTGATTGATTGAATGGCTGACAGGATGATGGGACACTTAGCATATTAGGCTTTTATTATATACTAGAGGCCCGGTACACAAAAATTTGTGCACTGGCGGGGGGGAGGGGGGTGTCCCTCAGCCCGACCTGTGCCCTCTCACAGTCTGGGACCCCTCAGGAGATAACCACCTGCTGGCTTAGGCCCGCTCCCCGGGTGGCAGATGGCAGGCCCCATCCCACGGTGCCTGCCCCACCTCCCCAGGTCACAGATGGCAGGCCTGGATCCCGTGCTGGGTCGCAGACAGCAGGCCCGGATGGCGGCTGGGCAGGCAGCGAATTATGCTGTCCTGCCCCGCCTGCAGTATGAAAATTTAACAGCCATCTTTGTTGGGTTACGTGCTGTCCTGCCCCGCCGCCCCAGGTCGCACACGGGAGGCCTGGATGGCGGTGGGTGGGCGGCGGATTGAGCTGTCCTGCCCCGCCTGCAGTATGCAAATTTAACGGCCATCTTTGTTGGGTTAATTTGCATACTCTTCTGATTGGCTGATGGGCATAGCGAAGGTACAGTCAATTAGCATCTTTGTCTTTTATTAGTGAACATGATATTCAATAGGACTTCTATAGATTTTTCTTTAGGGATCTACTGATATTGTCATCCATATCTGAATCCTTTGGCTGTGAATTTACTTATATTCCTTTTGATTGTGACCTCCTTGAGTACAGGTCTTATCACTATTTAGATCTCCCACAGCTGCCTTCGAATACTGTGCAGATTGTAACTATTGAATAAATGAATGGAATTTTAAAATCTTTGGCATCGAAATGAAACCAAAGGAAGACATGTGTGCCAACTTCTTATTCTGAAAGTACCTTGAGGCTGAATAACCCTACCCATTTTCTGAAACTTCTTTTTCAAAGGATTCTTACCTAATTCAGTGTAGACCAGGCATTACCATATATGCAAATAGCAGTATAATATATTACCCATTAGGTTTCTCAGGTCTACTGAATATGTAATATTTTAAATTATCTACCATTTGTTTTATCAGACTTTTACTCCAGTAGAAATGAGAATTTATATGCTTATATATGACCTATATAAAGTTAAATAATTTTGTTTTTATTATAAATTCTAGCAATAACATCAATTGCTATTATTCTAGAAATTTTACTATTCACTTTATCTACTCCCAAACTCAGGCACTTATCGCCTAAAGCCTGGGTTATAATATAGACCACTTTATTGATTTTCCTTGTTTTTCTTCTCATTTGAAATCTACTGTGCAAAAAGCTTCCAGACAGAGAGATTTTCTATAAATAAATCAGATCATACTATTCATCTCCTCTAAACTTCAGAGTCAGTTCCCTGCTGCAAAACCAAGCTCATCTCCTCCATCACGGACTCTCCAGGGCCAACATCTGAAGGAGCTCCAGGACATGGTAATTGTCCATTTGTAGTTGCACATGCTGTACATTTACTCCATCATGCTTCTGCTTTGGAACAGCTGGTTCACTTCTCATCAGCTTGGCAAACTCCATGCTGGCCTCCTCATCAGAATAAAGTTACCCTTCCTTTGTGGTCCCATGGCCACTGGCTTTCATTCTATTTCATTCTTCTTTATTTTATATCAGTAGTTGTCTGAAACACACCTGAGTTTGAATCTTGCACTGGCACGTCCTAGCTGAATACCTTCAGACAATTCATGTGTTCTTTCTCAGCAACAGTCAGATAATCTTTAAAGCTGACATAATAATACCCACCTTTGAGCACTTGTCTGCAGGATTAAATGAGATATACAGCACACATTACTAAATCCTGTTGTCTTCAACATTAGTTCTCATGTATCTGGATCACCTGGAGGGATATTCATGAGTGCAGATTTCTGGGATCCCAGCTCTACTGGGTCAGAGTTTATGGACAGATAAGGGAATCAGAATTAAAGGGCACATTTGGTGGTTCTGACACTGGTGGTCCTCCGATTCTGGGCAACACTTTCCTAAATTATGTGCCCTTTTAGAGGATGGACTGGGTCTCCTTAACATTCACACCCTCAGGAGTGCACTGAACCAGACATTGCCCAAAAACTGTAAGAATATTGACTGCAATTGGCAGTTGAATTTTAACAAATATACAAGTATTTTTAGTAAAAATGAAGAGGCTATTGAGACAAGGTGACCTAGGAAATAAAACCTATATAAATTCATCAGGAAAAACAACAACACTTCATAGTATTTTTCAGATTAAAAGATGACTTTAAATGCCTCCTCCACACTAACATCCAGACTAAAGGCATCCCTGGAGTGATGGTCTCCTCCTCACATTTCTCCTCTGTTCCATCTGGCTCCCACCCAGAAGTCTGCTTGTTAACTGGCTACCTGAGATCCAGAAGGGAGCAGAGGATGTAAATCCAGGTTGAGCCACATCCATTTAAGAACAAGTGACCATAGTGTAGAGTGATCAAATAATGCTCTTAGAATAATTCCCCACTGATTAAAGAAAGGAGTAAATTCCAGGGTTATCCTGGTGTCACAAGTAAACATGTACTTGACATATTTAACTGAGACAGGCTTAGCTTTTGAATATATTACGTCTTCAGTTTTGACATCAAAAGGATTGCAATGTATATTAGGGAAACTAATGGGATTTACATGTCACCCTTACTCTGTGGGCTCGTCTCGTATTTTTATCATTTGGGGTTCTACGGTATTGGCCTTCTTGGTCTCTTTCTTTTTTAATTTCTCCCTCTCTTTCTCCCATTTATTATTTCTCAAGAAAATATGAAAATTGAAAAGTACTTGAAATATTTTAGGATTTCTAAACTTGAACAGTGTTTCTAATACAATCCTATTGACTAGAATTTGGACTTCCAGTGTTAGAAAATGTTGCAGCCCAAAGTGTTTTAACTTTTAGCCACAAATTAAGCTTGAGTCCTCTCTCATAACCTGGACTATTACTTAATAACATAGGTACTAACATCTTAGCCACTTGCTGCTTTTTATTCTGAGAATCTTAACAAGCCTTAAGATCCATTCTTTGAGAAATACTTCTAATTGAGAATGAGGCAATATGGTAGGAAAACTGAAACTCACAAGATGAGTGACCTTGATAAAGTCATGTCACTTCTGTGGGCCTCACTTTCTTGGGGAAATGCTCCCCAATGGGAGTCCAGTTCTGAAGTTCTATTATGATAAAGTCATGTCACTTCTGTGGGCCTCACTTTCTTACAAATAAAGGGAAATGCTCCCCAATTGGAGTTCAGTTCTGAAGTTCTATTGTAAAGCCACACGGGAATCCTGCTTATGGGGCTGAGTGCCTCTCCATATTTTCACTTTTATAGCATTGAAAAAAACAGAGGATTGAAAGTGAATTATACCTTACAGGAATGTTTCTCCAATGGGGGCAGGAGTGTACAGTAGTATATACCAGGGGATACCTGAAGCCACCGTGTCAACTGAGTCAAGAGATTTGAAGGGAAACCACATTACATTAGATTGAAAAGAAAAATCACAGGTATATCAAGGGAAAGTAGGAAATACCTTCTTGAAAATCTAAATAAAAACGTCAGTGACAAGTTCATTCAGGCTTTGCTCTGTCCTCAGGACTTGCATGTTCAATCTTCTTTGTGTTTCTTAAGGGCAATTTGGAGGAAAAGGAGGAGAGGTGCTGTTATGTCTTCTGAGTATTCATGAGAAGGAAGAGGGCCCTTAAATATTAGGTTGGAAATCAAGACTGGTGATCTCATCTTGTTTCAGAAACTCCCAAGGTGTTACCTGCCTTTTTCCTGGGGGAGTCCGTTCTGAATCCATCTGATTCAGCCTTGCCCTCCTGGGCAGTATGGGCATCAGAGAAAGAAATATTTTGATTCTGATCATACCTCTGATGACACATTTCTTGGTGCACTAAGCTGGGCAGCAGGTTGGAAGAGCCAAACCCAAAAGATGTTCTTTGGGGAGGGGAAATTATGGGACACAAGGGATATGCAAAATGGGGTGGAATGGCCGATTCCTATCTCCTATACAGGACTCCTGACTTGAAATTGGAAACCTGCCTCAGAGTAGAGGAGAGCAGCATTCTCGTTCATTTATTTTATGTCTCTCTGTTGGTCATATGGTCTAACTTCTAGGGAGGGGTTTTCAAAGTCGTCATAACAGCAAAACTCCTTCTCCAAATCACATCTTACATAGGAGCCTCATACATGACCCAGATGAAAGCAGAGTTGTTTTGATGAGGGAAGGTGTGGGTGGGGCATGTCCTGGTCTCATCTTCCCTGCAGGTCTCCCCAGCAACTCCAGAGCACTCTGGGCAACAGGCTCCTCTATGCAAAGCATCAATATCAATGTACTGGAAAATAGTCATCATCACAGAGAGAGATTTCTGGAGTGTCAGTCATTTGTGGTCTTACTCTGTAATCATTACAAATTTGGGTCTGAAAACCAACTTGTCATCTCTAAGGGCTGTGACCTTTGGTACGTTATTAACCCTCTAATGCTCAGATTATTCATCTGTAAAACGAGGCTCATAATTGTATTCTCCTAATTGGGTTGATAGGAGAATTAAATGCAGTAAGTAGGTATGTAATGCACTTAGCAAAAATCTTGGCTCAAAGTGAGTGCTTGAGATGCGGTTATTACTGTTCGTATCATACATATTGCTCTATGAATATTATCTCAACAACAAAACTGAGCAAAAGAAGCTGACTTGAGGTTTTGGGAAAGATGCAGGTATGATCTGGAGGCAGAAAATCATGATCATTAACGCTGTCTGCCCTGGGAGTGTGCTAGAGCAGCCGTCACCAACCACCAATGTCCATGGACCACCAGTTGGCGACCACTACTCCAAAGGTTTCCTTAAACCAGTGGTCGCCAACCTTTTGGACCTCATGGACCACCAGTAGCCCACAGACCACCAGTTGGCGACCGCTGTGCTGGAGGGAATGATATACTTTGGTCCCTTAATTGTCATCCTCACTTAAGGGGAGATCCAGATCTTTGCCTTTCTCCCACACTTCTCCGCAAGGAGATGCTCTGATATGTATGGAGAATAAAATGGGGTGTTGGAGAATATATTCTGGAGCTACCACAGTGACCCCAAATGTTTCTAATGCAAGAGCATAAATTTTCTGTTCCTCTTTGAGGCTACCAAGCAGGTGTAAAGTCAGGAGTCTGACCAAAATAAAAAAGTCCTCAGAAGAGCAGACACAATGGAATTGAAGGCACAGACCTGACCTTTGGGTTCTTTCTTTCTATGTGGCTGGATGACAGGAAGTCATCTTAGAAGGCCAAGTTGAGCCAGCAGTACCAGGTCCAGGGGGAAGGAAGGCAAGTATAGACAGGGTTCTCTGAATATTTTCAAAGGTCTAGTTCAGCTCATCATGGCCAGAGACTTGAGGCTGGAGCTCTAAATAGTATTGTGTGCTTGTCTTGCTGAGCCATCCTTCATCAAGGATTTATGAGCTCCACACCGGAGGAGACTCTGGTGTATTTAATCACTGCCGGTCCCCAGAACCTAGAGCAGTGCCCTGCACAAAGTAGCTATTCAATATGTATTTGCACAATAGATTCATTCTACTCTGAAATCCTGGAACAGATGCAACATGTCTGTTCAGGGCTAAAGAGTTGCTGAGAGCTGAAGAGCAACCATGTAGTCCAAAATCCACTCCAAGGGAAGGGTAGTGGAGAGGGAGATTTGACCTAGCTCTGAACAAGACTCACCCCACCAAAGGCCAAAGCTTTGCCTTGAACGCCGAACCCCTTTATGGATGGTTTCCACTTAAGCTTTGGGGATATTTTAAAGAGAAGAGAAAACAGCATCTCTTAAGCTCTGACACCAAAGGGCCGAGGCACTGGAAGCTGAAAGGCAGACGCACTGCAGACCCACTCATTCCCCCTGGTATTAAGTGTTCCCGCTCTTACGTTTTTAATCTTGAAAATGTAAAGATTTTGCTGTGTTTGCCAGGTAGTTGTGAGAAAAGATGAAATACTGTATGTGAACAAGCATTTTTGAAAAGTCAGAGACTTTAGAATTGTGAGACATTATCATCATCTACCCAGGCCCTAAGCATCCACTCTCTCCTGGGCCAGGGACTTGGCCCTGGGGGCTTTTCAGCTTAGCTGCACTTACTGTGGCCAGGAGGGAGTCCAAGAAGCTGCCAGAAAAGACCGACCCCGTGGAAAAGGAGGTGCTTAGATGCAGGCTTGTTCCTGAGAGGTGCCCTTCCATTCCACCAAGCTGTTCAATAAAGTGGATGTTGGAAGGATTTTCTGCAAGGCAAAAGAGGCGAATAAGGAAAGACAGGCAGACGGGTTTAAGAATACAGGAATTGCCTTAAGAATATATGCAGACCAAGGTGTGACCATTTGATGAAAGGGTCTGATGCCTGCTTTGGCATCAATGTGGGACCTGCCCCTACTTCAGGACATGTTTTCTTTCCAAGTATCTTCTTCATCCCTTAAAGATGAATCCCTCTTGGGCACCTTCATCATCAAGGGTATATCCTTATACCTCAGGGTCATTTTCTCCAGGCAAGTGTCCAGACTGTCACCCTCATATAATTTATCTTTCAAACTAGGACACTTTAGAAGTAAAAGGGGGCAGTCTCACTAGGCATAACTAGGAGCATACGGTCACTCCAGTTGTAGTCCTTGTCATAATTCTATGCCGCAGGTGGCTTGGTGCTTACTTGGGTTCCTAGATTATCTGGGTCCAGAATGAGTTAAAGCAGTACCTGTCAAAATTTAATGCACATATTAATCACCTGGGGATCTTGTTACAATACAGATTCTGATTCAGTGGTTCTAGGATGGGGCCTGAGAGTCTACATGTCCAACAAGCTTCCAAATGCTCCTGCTGCTATTCCTGCTGATTCATGGATTACACTTTGAGTAGCAAGGGCTCAGAAAAATTATCCTAATTGAGGCCAGTGCAGCAGTAGCCATGTTACCCATTAGCATATCTGTACTGGCCTGGGGCTGTGACTCAGACCCCAGTGAGCAGCCTCTGAAGTAATAGAATGGGTCCTTGTTAGAGTGCCAGCAGAGGCACCGGAGGCCTTTGTTCTAAGTCTACTGCTTTAGAAATTTTTGTGCTGAGAATAGCATTGAAAGACAGAGATGATGTCTCCCACCAGAGTAAAGAGAAGGCATGCTCACTGTCCATTATGAAAGAGTTCAGTTCCTCTCTTATAAAGGTGGTACAATTATCACTTGGCCCTTTTCATGTCACCTGGTGGGAACGAAGACTTGGATAACCAGCACAAAATTGTTGAGGCTACTGCTGTCATTCTGAGTAACTATTTTGTATCTCTGACCCAGTGGTTTTGTGTCTTCTGCCAGCATCTCTGCCAGCATCTATGAAACTGTGGCAGGTTAACTTGTTAGTTTGCAAGTAGATTAAACTCTCTTAGACCTTTCCCAGCTCTCATCAGTCATAAATAGATCAACACAAATATACTGGGAGAAGTGATATACTGCTAATATTAGTGAATCATTAATTTTCTTTGAAGAACTATATAGTTTTATAAAAGAGCAAGGTCTGACTAGTGCCAACCCACAATTCCTAAGCACACACAATTTCCTCTTCTTGCATTGCCAACCTTCAACACATACACACACACACACACACACACACACACACACACACACAAACCACATCCCAGGGGCCCTTGTCCAAATCCTGCTGCGTCATGCTAAACCCAGGGTCTCAGCTTTCCCAGGCATTTTCCTGCAGGCCACTGTACATTCTGTATCTAAGTGCTGGCAGTCAGATCTGTGGCTCCCATGTCACTGTGACCCTCTCCAGACGGCCAAAGAAGAAAAAACAGTGAGCTGGCAGGTGATTTGTTAGGCTAATCTGACAAGGGCCGCCTGGTGCCAGAAAGTCTTCAGTTGAACAAAGCTGTAAGTCCCTCGAGAGTGACCAGATGCACTTCTGGGCCAGTAAGCACCTGTCAGGTTCCCTAATTTACATTGTAGTCTTCTAATCAGTGTCCTTAGTGTGGCTGCACCTCAGGGTTAGAGATGGTTCAAAAGGGTAGAAAAATAAAATTAAGCCCTAGCTGGTTTGGCTCAGTGGGTAGAATGTCAGCCTGTAGGTTTGATTCTGTTCAAGGGCACATACCTGAGTTGCAGACTGGATTCCCAGGCTTGGTTAAGCCCATGCGGGAGGCAACCAATTGGTGTATCTCTTTCATGTCAATGTTTCTCTCTCTCTTTCTGTCCCTGCCTTTCATTCTCTAAAAGTCGATGGAAAAATATCCTTAGGTGAGGATTTAAAAAATAAAAATAAAATAAAATAAAAACCTGCAGCTAACAGTTTAGGATTTAAAAAATAAAAATAAAATAAAATAAAAACCTGGAGCTAACAGCTTACCAGTGGTTGGCAAACTGACTTGCAAGCCACATGCTGCTCTTTGGCCCCTTAAGTGTGGCTCTTCCACAAAATACCGACTTCTGCACATGGGCCACGAAGTTTCAATCACACTGTACATGCATGCCTGCACGTGGTATTTTGTGGAAGAGCCACACTCAAGGGGCCTAAGAGCTGCATGTGGCCTGCGAGCCGCAATTTGCGACCACTGGCTTAAACAAATAGGCTGGCTGGGACCAGTCAGGCTCAAGAAAGTTGAGATCCTGCCCGGCTGGTGTGGCTCAGTGGTTGAGCATAGTCCCATAGACCAAGAGGTTCCTGGTTTGATTCCTAGTCAGGCACATAATATCTGGGTTGTAGGCTCAACCCCCAGCAAGTGGCATACAGGAGGCAAGCAATGGATGTTGATGCATTGATGTTTCTATCTCTCCCTCTCCCTTCCTCTCTCTAAAATCAACAAAAATATAGATTTTTAAAAAGCGAGAGAGCTGAGATCCTCAGAGCTGAATTTGAAGAGCTGCTGCTCCAGGATTCACTGTGAACAGACTATTTCCCTTCTGCTGCACTGTCACTCCCAGATCACATGGTGGTGTTGCCTATGATTCCTCTCTATGTCCCCTGCTTCCTTCCTGGGACCAAGAGGTTTGTTTATCCAGTTTGGTGTAAGTCTCACTCAGCTTACTCAAAGTCATAAAATGCCCATTAAGGATGTTGCTATACAATAGAATCCAGTCAAATCGTATGCCCAGGACCAGCTAATGGATTGTCTTTGAGTTGGTTTAATATGTGTGAAAGACACTGTTCCCCTTTTGGCATCTTACCCTTCTCTCATCAGTTATTACCAGTATTAATCCCCTAGTGCAGTGGTTCTCAACCTGTGGGTCGCGACCCCTTTGGCGGTTGAACGACCCTTTCACAGGGGTCGCCTAAGACCATCCTGCATATCAGATATTTACATTACGATTCATAACAGTAGCAGCATTACAGTTATGAAGTAGCAACGAAAATAATTTTATGGTTGGGTCACAACATGAGGAACTGTATTTAAAGGGCCAGAAGGTTGAGAACCACTGCCCTAGTGCCTCCCAACCCCTCCCGCCTTAAAGTACCCGGGCACCTTCCCTACCCTGCTTTCTGCTTCCAGGGGTCCTCACATCCAGGAACATTTCCTAATGTGCATTTTCCATAAGGTGTTGGTGAGAGATAACAGCTTATTCTGATATTTCTGCACCTAGTATTCCCTTTTTAGAAGACCACCACTCAGGACTGGAATTAAGATGACACAAGGGACACAAAATTGAAGGACCCTGAGAGTGAGCGTCACCTTTAAGTCTGCACCTTGGTGCCTCCTAGTGCTGGCCCTGGTATCACTATAGTAAAGGAAGGTGACTGACTTAAAGTCCCAGGTGGGTAGATAGGTTGGTATAGAAAGATCCCTTTTGTCAGTCTTCAAGTTCATGTCCCTCCCATGGGAGATTCCCTCTGAATAAGAGTGAACCAGCTGCTGGTCTCCCTCTCCTGGAAACTTGGAATGGGGAACGCAGATGGTATTCCTGCACCCTAATGCAGCAGGCTCTGCCGGGTCATGTCACAAAAAAAAAAAAAAAAAAAAAAAAAAAAAGGCCAGTGTAATGTCTCATCAAGCACTTAATGCTCTTGGGCCCCATTCTGCTTCTTCAGTCCTTGGACTGTGGATTTTAAAAAGAACCCTGGGACATTAATTCTGGATCAAATAGGTTTTTCCCTTGTATTTTCCTTGAAACAGGACTTACTCAATTCAGTGAGGATGGGGATTCTTCGGCACCATGACTTCCCAGATTCACTGAGGCGGGGTGAAATGTCATCTGTAGACACAGAGGATGACAGAAAACAAGAGATTGATAAATGCAAACAAAGGGGCTTGCAAAATGTGACAAGGATGGAGAAAGATACTCTGCAACTTAGTGCTTTGCAAAGTCCACTCAGGCCCAAATCCCAAATCCCAAATCCTTTTCTATATTTAGAGAAATAAAATATTTGGGCATCTTTGGCATCTAGTTTTGGGACATTGTGTGTGTGTGTGTGTGTGTGTGTGTGTGTGTGTGTGTGTGTGTGTGTAAGTAAAGCTTTACCGGTATTTGCTTATTGATAACATAAGTAAAATATGATTGTTCTCCACAGTGTGGGTAATGGCTCAGACAGGCTGTACCTTTAACCACATCCATTTGCTTGTAGGACTGCTAGGAAAGTATGAATAAGCAGGCAGTGCTGCTCTGTGCGTGCGCTTGGTAACACTGCAAGTGGTTTCGGCTGCTGGTGCTATCTGCCTCTTTGAGAGCTTCTCTGGGTCCAGACACTATTCACATCTTCTTTCTTCTTCAGCAGAACTGGCTGCCTCCCATCTCTGGTTGGCCTCTTGCAGCCTAGAATGCCTTTGGAGTTCCTTAAAGACTGGGGTTGGGTTGCCACTTGTCATCTTTGCCCTTTGTGTTCAGTTTACAGACAGATTTCCCTCCTGGGTCAGGAGGTGAGGCCCTTCATTTTCCTCTGTGAGCCTTGACTCTGAAAGAGCTGATGCACAGCACTAGCCCCAAACAGCCTTATCAGGCAGTGGACTATGAAGAGTTTCAACACTAGAGTTTTGGTCCCCAAGTTAAACTAAAAAAAAAAAAAAGTAAAGAAAGGAAAAGGAAGCTGGGGACCAGTTTAAAAAACAAGCACACAATTATCTCATCAGAAGTTATGTTTTAAAACTGTTGGCTACCTTTTGTAACTTTTCTGAGAATGCAAAAATACTGTGAAAGTTAAAACTCTGCTTTTAATTAAAATCCCCTGCTTCCTAGGAAGAAGGTGAAATATTTGGAGGTCCTCTGTTTACGGAGCCAGATAAGTGATAGGTGGGAAGAGTGAGATGTGAAATGAAGTGAGCGGGTTAGGTAAGACAGCCTGAGGGACAGATAAAAGGAGGGTGATGGGACAGGGGAAAAGAGAAAACCCAAGGGTAGATTTCTGTCAGAAAAAAAAGCTATATTCTGCAGTATTTACCACCTGTTCCATCTCCCCCAGGAAATACTCAGTAAAACGGCCACTTCTTGTTAATGGAGAGTAGAGGTGAATATGTTTCTAATAGCCACTGAAATTCCGAGTCATGCTTCAAGGAGGATTTGGGGTAAAAACTGAAGCTGCACAGGAAGAGCCCAACACACTTGGGTACAGTCAGCACTGGTGGTGACCTTGGGAATGCAGGTGAGGAAATGGAAGCCCCAAGGGCTAACATGGTTCACACAGCTGTCTAGGAGGAAGGTTGGACCTGAGGATATTTTGCTAAGTGAAATAAGTCAGATGGAAAAGGACACAAATCATAAGATTCTACTCATATGTAGGATCTAAAACAGAAAATGTAAAAACAACAACAACAGAGAAACAAATGAACAAATAAAACCAAAATAAACTCTCAGACACAGACAACAGATTGGTGGTCACCAGTAGGGGAAGTGTGAAATGGGTAAAAGGGGTAAAATATATGGTGAGAAACAGAAACAGACTTTTGGTGGTGAGCATGGATATCAAATTATGTTGTACACCTGAAACTTATGTTATAAATCTCAAAAAAAAGCAAGGTTAACATCGATAGCTAGAGCTCAGATGTCCTAATTCACCAGTGAATCTTAGTTGTGATTAATCTGAACACCATAAACTGTTTTTCTTAAAAAAAATACCTCTGGGATTTCCATGATACAGGAAGTCCTGGGGGAACTGAGAATCTGCCTTATTCTCAGAACTGTGCAGATGCTTTATTTGCTGGGTGTCCCTTACCCCCCTTTCCATTCTCCCTTCTACAAATTTTAAGAGTATCTATTGCACCTAGGACTGTGGAATCCCTGCCCCAGTTACATGCCACATGTTGCAAATACAAAATATGTATTTTCAAGTAGTGATACATACTGTGAAAACAAAAACAAAACACAACTGTAGGGGCTAGTGATTGAGTTGCAGAGATGATTTTAGATAGGGTTTGAAGAGAGGCTTCTCTGTCTTGGAATGGAGTCCTGAGAGGTGAGAAAAAGCCATCCAGGCAGAGGTAATGGGAAAAGGGACCTAAGGCAGGAAAGAGCCAGTACAGACAGAATGAAGTGGGAGAAAATCAAACTCCCTTCGGGCCTGCAAGACCCTATTTTCCTATAATTGCCCTGGGTTATCACTATGGGGTTTTAAGCAGGGAACTGACATGATCTGATAAATACTTGTAAAAGGTCCCTCTGGCTGCTGTGAGCAGTACAAGCTATAAGGAGATAAGAATTATACCAGGCTCCCAACAAATCTGTGAATCAATATAGTTAGATCACATTTGAAGAAACCGACTCAGGGTTTACATAGCTTGCCCAAGGTTAAATGGCCTGTAAATGATGGATGGTTTTTCATACCCCAATCGGCACCAACTTCAAAGCCTAGGCCCTTTTAAGGGCCACTTTGTAGCCCTAATAAAATATTCAAGGTTTGGCTGACACGTCCAGTAAAATATTGAGGCCAATTTCCCTCAAAGGTGCAGTCCTCCTTTGAACCCCACTTTCTGATCCCAGTTCCCTCTAGAAAAGGGTTTGGATCTTCTTGACTTTCGAAGTTAAATGTCCTTATTGGATACAGAAGTGTTCACATTGGGTTGGCTAAAGTGGCTGCTGAGTGTCTGCTTTTGACACCATCTGAAGGACAGCAACCACCTTAGCTCCATCTCCTCTTGTGGAGCAATGGTTAATTGGAATATGTGTCAGATCATAGCCTGGGTGCATTGTACCAATGTCAATATTTCTGGGAGCTCATAATACACAGCATTATACCTGAAATCTTCCTGGCTGGCAGGCTACTATTACAAAAGAGTGCTTAATTGTAGATTACTACAGTACATTTAAATTTCAGTAGCATATTAAGTTGTCAGACTTAATTACCGTTATATGTTTAGATTATGCCACAGATTATTTAGTTCAGTACCTAGGTTTGCCAACCTGTTCTTCTTGTGATGTGACAGGGCAGCAATTAGGACATCACTGGAAAACCTACAGCTTTCCATGGAGATGGCCAGGAGGCCCGGTATTCTTACTAATCCTTCCGAGATTCTGCCCTCTGCTGTCCCCACACCCTCAACGTCCCTGGGAGAATCACTGCATGGAGTAGCACTGTGGTCCTAGATGGGCTTCATGTACAAGTTTATCATGATTGGGAAGATGGAGAAAGGACCACTGATCCCAGAAAAGGCTCATACTAGGGTGATATTTCTAATCTCAGTACTATTGAGATTTTGAGCCAAAAAGGTATTTGTCATGTAGGGTCATCATGTGCATTGTAGGATGTTCAGCAGCATCTCTGACCTCAACCCACTAGATGCCAATAGCATTCCTCCAAGTTGTGACAAAACAAAACTGTCTACAGACATTGTCAGATGACTGCTGGGGGGAAAAACTGCCCCTTGTTGAGAACCACAGTCCTAGAGAAAGAGAAAGAAAACTGCCCATCAACTCGTCTTATGTTGATGATCAGCTGGGGAGACGTTTTCTGCCTCCTTACAGAATTTCAAAATCCTTTACACCAGTGGTTCTCAACCTTCCTAATGCCGCGACCCTTTAATAGTGTTCCTCATGTTGTGGTGACCCCCAATTTCATTGTTACAAATTGAACATAATTAAAGCATAGTGATTAATCACATAAACAATATGTAATTATATATGTGTTTTCCGATGGTCTTAGGCGACCCCTGTGAAAGGGTCATCAACCAAAGGGGTCACGACCCACAGGTTGAGAACCACTGCTTTACATTGTCGACTCTCAGAGAGGTAGGTGGTCCCATTTTTACCTCTTATGGTGCAAGCAGATATTACCAGGCTTCTCTGCGGATTGGGGATGCCTATATATAAACTTCAGGTAGATTCCTATAATGCTAGAGTAATTGGTGAGGTTTCTGAGTACTGGTCCTTTACTATTTACACATGCTCAGAATGTGACTTGACTGATGCTATAGCACCAGATAAGCAGATTAGATGACTTCTGTTAGGTAGCCCAGTAGAGTTGCCTGCAGTTATATTTCCCCATCATACAAGTGTGTATGACACCCATTAAAGAAATGGTACTAGGCCTACAGAATAATTTTTCTCTAAACTTTCCCTTTTATCTTTGGGGAAGAACCTATCCATGTTTCATGATGGCACAAGTAAGGGGTAAGCAAAAGTAGGTTGATACTTGTTGTGCAACTAAGTAATACAATAATTAATAAATAATTATACAGAAACAAACTGTGTTCTGCATACTCACAATTGTAAATCTACTGTTGTCCACCCTTGTGCTTTGATGTTCCTTTATTTTCTCTTCCTCCTTTCCAGTCCCTTTTCCCTCTCCTCTACCTCCTTCTACCAATCCAGCAAGTTGCTGCTTCAAGTGCAACCTTCTAGACTGTACTAGGTTAGACACATCATACAGAATCAAAATATTTTTGTTGGATGAGTGAGAGGATGAAAATCACTAGATAAAAAGGAAATCAGACTTGAAATTATAGGTTTATATCTTTCTAGCTTATATAGGATATAAAATTAAAAAATAATAAGAAGGAGGACAAGTCATCCAGATGATTAATTAGGTGGCTTATGATGTTCAGTTTATCCCATGCTTTCATTGAGTGGGCAGTTTCATTTGTATATTGATGATACTGCCCTTAAAATGAACACTTCTCTGCCCAATTATAGAAAGTTGCAAGATGATGCACACAGGCACCCACACATGCATATACTCACACTTCCTACACATTCACCCTCCACAGCCCTCCCCACACCATACTCACACCCATACCACACACAAATATTGGGTAAATCTAAGTGACTCTAATGGCTGAGCTAAGGATTTATGTGCAGCACACAGCAGCATTTTATGGATCTTCAGATTTGCTCAGCAGAGGTATGGCTCACACTTCCTTAGTCCTGATTTTCAGTGTACTTTGACATTATGAAGTGCTTTGCTTTTCGTTCTTCTTTGCAAAAGAACCCAAAACCCTGAGACCTGAGTGGAGTTTAGTTGCTAAGTGAGGGTGTGTCACATAGCTTAGTTCACCTACAGAAGATTAGACTAGATTACTTGTTTATTCCTTTGCCCCAAGTATGTTATATTTTCCCACCTAGCAACAGTGCCTAGGAGTCAGACAGAGTTCTTTTGGTTTCCCAGTTTTACTCATGAAGATTTTTATTCACATCCATAATTATGAAAGTCTCATGATGCTTTAGATGTCTGACCTCTCCAAGTTCCATGCAAAGTGGAAGAGCTATAGTCAGCAGCTATGAGTCCAGAGGACGAGTACCCAACCTTGACACAGAGGATCAACACCCCTTAGGGAAATGCTGGATCCAGAGAACTCCAATAATGATTTACTTGATTTGAAAATCTGCTTTAGATACAGAAAATTTTTCAATAAGAGGGCTTTCATATTAGGTTCAGCGACAGTAGTCAATTTTTAGAAATAGACTAATATATAAGCTTTTTCTGGGGGTGGGGAGGGGGGAACAGGGAGGAAAACCACAATTTTGTAGTGGGAACTTATGTCAAGCATATCTTGGGCACAAAAAATGTGTAGAAACTACTCAAGAGTCCAGTTCACTGGCTCATTTGCTTCAATTCAATAAGTGTGACTGGTTCAGCGACAGTAGTCAATTTTTAGAAATAGACTAATATATAAGCTTTTTCTGGGGGTGGGGAGGGGGGAACAGGGAGGAAAACCACAATTTTGTAGTGGGAACTTATGTCAAGCATATCTTGGGCACAAAAAATGTGTAGAAACTACTCAAGAGTCCAGTTCACTGGCTCATTTGCTTCAATTCAATAAGTGTGTTAAGCATCTCCTAAGTGACCACAACTGTGCTAGGTACTGAGAGGAACACAAAGGAGGAAAAGACCTAATTCCCATCCTGGAGAGATCTCTTCTCACCATCTCATTCCACTTTGAAGTTGGATTGTGACATTTTTATTCTACAGAAGTTGGAAGAGACCTCACCTTAGAGATAATATTCTAAAATTCATGTATTGAAAGCATCTCAAAGAGCAAAAGAGAATTATACTTCATTCTCTCCACCATGAAACTAAAAATAATAACTAGAACATCTACAAGATCCAATGAGAATTTCATTGATGATAATAATTCTTGCTATTCATTATAATAATATGCCAAGTTCTATCTTCTCTGATATTTGATTAGTAATAATGTTAGTACTTGCAATTCTGTGATTTTACTTAAAATGGGAAAAGTGCTACATGCATTCCATGTAGAAGATGGGTATCATTTTTCAGTTGACTTAGGATTCCCAAGGACTAAATTGTCCACTCCTCCTCCCCATGGTTAAAGTACTTCAGAGAGAAGTTAATGCTCTTTCCGTATTCCATTCTCCCTAACCTCTTCTTGTCAGGGCGTTGTTCTTACCTGCCTCTGAGGGTGTCCGGGCAGAGCAGCTCATCCGCAGTGATCCTATGTTGAGGGTGGCCATGATGATCTGTGAGTCTACTAAAGTCTGGGGAGATGCCATGGGTGGGGAGGATAAGACAGCACACATGGAACATTCCTCTATGTTGACTGCATGGAGGTCTGCAGTATAGAGTGCAGAGCCCTAATGAGAGAAATGGGGCAGAGGAGGAACCGCTCAGATGGACAGATTTTATATCATGGCTCACAGTTGTGGATCTTTCTGGGTGATAATTTTTGAGCCAACAACTCTTCAGCTTCCAACGACTTGGTTTTAAGACAAGTATCTGACACATTACCTGGTATCTGACACATTTAGCCTTACCAATCATTAATATCTTAATCAATCGGGATGAGACAAAGGAGGGTAGAGAGTGGGGAGCCAAAATCCATTTAAATGACTCAATTGGGAGAAGAGAAATGAAGAAGGGAAACACTAGTGAAGGGGGAAAAAAAACAGAAAAAGGAGAAGTTATGGATCTAAAGGCAAATTTTCTATCCTCACCATTTCACTTGTAGCTGACCCCACTTGCCAGTTCCAGATTAACTAGCAAAGTGGTGGTTGCTTTTTTTCTTTGATGAAAAAAAATAGGAATAGATCTGACCCCACCTTCAGGTACCTTGGACTCAAATATTGGTAATTTCTAATATTAGTTGGATTGGAAGAATTCTGATCATTGTTTTTTTTTCCTTTCTTTGAACTAATCTAAGGGGGTGGTGAGGAGAAACTTACGGTGACTTTAAAAAAAAAACAACAAATGAAATTTTGGGAGAACAATTTTTGAAGTTTGAAAAATATTCCTTAAACATCACCAGCATTCTTGCATAAAAATCAAATACTTTGGTACATTTCATGCGACATATAATGTGTTTTCTTTAAATCCAAAGAGATGGTTGCATATAATAGGATACAGACCTATGAGGGTTCAGAGTAAATACAATTATAACCGTAATACCACATGCATAACTGACCTATTTCTCAGAAATGTAAACCTAACTCCTCCTTTTCATATATCTATCAGGGACCATGTGGCATTACATGTTCTAGAAAAGATGTGTCTCCAGAATGGATGAGAAAGTTAGAGCATAAAGACTGGCCACTATCAGCTTGGCTTTAGCCATTAACTCAGAATCAGGCTCAGAAATGCAGAGAAACTCTTATTTATATAAAGACTATAAAACATGGTTATCAACATTAAGCATGGTGGCTCCTGAGCATAATGTCTGAATTTAAATCCTAGTCCTACCACTTGGACAGGTTACTTACTTTCTCCATGCCTAAAGTTCAACATCTTTAAAAAAATTTATCTCAGAGAGGTATTTTTAGGGTTAAATGAGTTAATATATGTAAAATGCATAGAACAGTTTCTGGTACCACTATATGACTGCAAGCTAGCAGTAGTAGTAGCTCCTGAGCATAATGTCTGAATTTAAATCCTAGTCCTACCACTTGGACAGGTTACTTACTTTCTCCATGCCTAAAGTTCAACATCTTTAAAAAAATCTATCTCAGAGAGGTATTTTTAGGGTTAAATGAGTTAATATATGTAAAATGCATAGAACAGTTTCTGGTACCACTATGTGACTGCAAGCTAGCAGTAGTAGTACTCCTACTAGTAGTAGTAGTAGTACTATTTATTACCATTCTAAATATTTACTAGCCCTTATATGATACTTACAGGCAAAATGTAAATCTGGGGAAAATTCCGGAGAAATCGCCATTCTCTCTGCATGTATTCCAGAGACCCGATGAACACAATGTCCTTCAGCTCCTGCCGAGGATAGTTGCTAGCCCTCAAGGGCATTACAAAATTCTGAAGCCCCATCAGTGTTGAGTGGGCATCTCCAAAGATACAAGCCACAATGTGGTTCCGAAACTCAAGTTTTGACTTGTCAGTTCGTTTCTAAGCATAAGCATGTCAGAATGTAGTCATTTTTAGAAACAACAAAGAGGGTTCCATCCCCTCACCCAAAGTCTTTGAGGTCCATCCACAGGAGTACCTCACAAGGATAACAGAATTTTGCAAACAGCTCATAAAAAATGGAACTTATTCACGGTGGGACAATTATACTTTGATCTTTTTGTGGCGTTCCTTCTTATTTCCCCCTTTTAAGTTTTCTATTAGCCTAGAGTGCATCAATTAAACTGAGAGCAGCATCATTCCTCAATTCAATGTGAAATCACTGAACCAAATGGGGAAAATATCTTATTTTCATTATATGTGTTGAGCCTTGTATGTGCTATAATAAGATTCAATGATAAACTAAACATTCCAAGTTCCTTTGCTAAACTTATGTCTTCCAGTGAGCCCTGAAAATTACATCAAGTTGCCCAACATCTTGCAGTTTTCAGTGGATTTTCATACATATAAAAATACATATTAGTTTGAACCATATGAAATTCCCTTTTTATGGGTCAAGAATGGTTGAATATCAGCAATTTTACATGGTTCAACCTAGTATTTAAATGTAATAACCATTTTTCTTAGATTAGAATAGGACTATTGCTAACATGGTGGGTTTCAGCAATCCTAACAGTCTCTAGTTGATGTGGCAGCTCTGACAATCTTGTGCTTTTGATGAAATGATTGATCATGTTTTTATAAAAATTGAGCTGATTCAATAGACTCTTTGCAGAGCTGAGAAAATTACTCATAGGAAGTGCACAAGAAATTAGAAGCTATAAAAATTCCATTTGATCCCAAATATTTGAATATGTCTCATACCCTGATTGGCATTGCCAGCTATTAATATCTCTCCTATAGCTCTAATTTGAAAATAAAGTAATATACATGATGAAGACTTAGATAAGGGTTTCCTCACACCCATAGAGACTTTAAAAAGTAATAAGTGTAACTTTTTAAAAAAAGGAATGGTATTCCTGAAGGAAATTTATTTCCAGCTTTTCTCTGATATCTTTCAGGAAATGAGTCATGGTCTCCTCTCATGGAGGTGGGATGAAGTTGAGCATGCCCTGGATCTGGTTTGGTATTTTTATTTTGCCATTAGTGGTATGAGTATGAACAGAGTACTTAATCTCTCTGACTCTAAGTTTAAGTGGTTTAAAAATAAATAGAAGTTAATCCTGCTGTAGAAACTAAATTATATATTGAAAATACAGTGTTCGACTCATTAACTGTTGTTCAATAATTATTGATCAAATGTGAATCGTGGGGAATTCCTAGATTTTCAGAGGAGGACTTTTGGAAGATGATGGACAACAAGTTAAATGTATTTAAAAGCATGTCATGTGTTAGTGTGTTTTACATGCCTGAGCACTTGAAGACTCGGAATATTTCAAATAGCTATACCATTCTCCCTCATGCCAGTCCGTAGCTGGATTAAATGACAAGCTTCTATGAAACAGGGGCTGATGAAATCTGACAGGATAAATAAGTAACAACTGACATCTCAACAATTAGAAACTGTCAAATTAGCATATAATAAGACATACTCTCTTTCCAAAAGCAATCCCCCTATGAGGGGAAATCAAGCTACTAGTCTGGAAAGTCTTCCTAAAGAGTGATATCAATCTTAACCAAATCTATTAAATAATCATCTCTAGCTAAACCAATTAGTTTTAACTTGAATAATGAAGCCTCTAACAGTATTTAATGCAACATGTCTATAGGTCAACCATTGCTCTTCTAAGTCAAACTAAACAATTAGAAACAAGATACATGGCAGAGTGCATTAATAGGCACAGCTAGAGAGGCAATTTCCCCCAAGAAACTGTGGCACAAAACTGTCTTCTGGTTAAGAAAGTTGGTGGCTTTTGGGGGAAGGAAAGCATGCACTATTTGTTCAAAGTAACTTAAAGCAACCACTTCCACTTGACCCTTCTGTAAACTAAACTAGCCCAAAGACTCCCTGGATTTTTCAATCTGGACATTTCTCCTATAGGGTCACAAGTTTCAAAACCCTTACAATTTCTTAAACTAGAAGCCCTTCTATATTTACCACAGACTCAAGTTGGTGTTCTGACCTACATTCCACACCAAGTGTCATAAAGAAGATAGCTATCATAGAAATAAATCTGTTTGCATGCTCCATAAGTATGTTCTGATAAAACATCTTCTATTTCCGTTTCTAGGTCTCTTGGATACCTCCATCTGCAAGCAACTTCCCAACCTTTCCAAAAATTTCCCTCCCACTGAAAACATGTTTGGCTGCCTGCTCAAAAGGTGTTTATTTTGCTGGGTTAAGAATAAGACCTAATTGCTAAAATAGTGAGTTTTAGTAACCCTAATAATCTTCTTGCTGATATGACAGCTCTAACAATTTTGTGCTTCTGATCAAATGACTGATCATGCTTTTACAAAAATTGAGATATATTATGTCAGGACACTAGCACAAGGATTGTGTGTGTGTGTGTGTGTGTGTGTGTGTGTGTGTAACGGAAAAAAAGCAAACTGAACTACAGTGGGGCCTTGACTTACGAGTGTCCCGACTAACGAGTTTTTCGAGATACGAGCCATCTCTCGGCTGATTTTTTGCTTTGAGTTGCGAGCTAAAATTTGGGTTATGAGCCAACTTCAGATACCCCACCGCTAGTTGGCACAGTGAACGCCACAACATCAGCCCAGCATCACATGTCTCACTCGTTCACTTTTTGATTTGACATACTAGTAATTTGAGTTACGAGCTCCATCACAGAACAAATTAAACTCATAAGTCAAGGCCCCACTGTACTTTTGGAAAGCAAAAAAATGCATAAATGTCAATTAGTCATAGTTGAAAATATTATATAGGGTTCATACAACATGCAAGCAAATCCTTTTTATTAGTTAAATTTACCAACTACTGAGGTTATACTTGAGTTTCTAATTCTGAAAAATGAGAATAGATGGAGATCCAGAAAGCAGGTTTCAGAACCTGCACTAGGATACAAGGCTTTTTACATTTTAGTTGCTGGCATTTCAGTGAGCAGAGTTCATTAACTTGAGAGGACAGAGACAGGATTCTAATATCTATAAGGATTCACCCAAGTTGTAGGGGGCAGGCATCTAGGAGATGCATGCTTGGCTTATGTGTTACATATAAATATAGCCAGCTTTAAGAAAAACTACTATAGAAAATTCGAACTTTAAAACCAATAGATTAGGAAAATGTTTATCCTATATAATAAAAGGCTAATATGAAATCGACTGAATAGCAAAATGACTGGTTGCTATGACATGCACTGACCACCAGGGGGCAGACGCTCAATGCAGGAGCTGCCGCCTGGTGGTCAGTGTGCTCCCACAGGGGGGCGCTGCTCAGCCAGAAGCCGGGCTCTTGGCTGGCGAGTGCAGCGGCAGTGGCAGGAGCCTCTCCTGCCTCCGTGGCAGCACTAAGGATGTCAGACTGATGGCTTAGGCCCGTGGGTGGGGGCAGCGGGCCTAAGCCATCAGTCAGACATCCCCTGAGGGCTCCCAGACAGCAAGAGGGTGCAGCCTGGGCTGAGGGACCACCCCCTGAGTGCACAAATTTTGTGCACCAGACCTCTAGTTATTTTATAAAAAGAAAAGACTGCAGAGTTCTTATAAATAAGGAGTTTCCTTGTGCATTTAAATTAATTAGATTTACTAGCAAAACAGTAAAGTTTCAGGAAAACATTATTCTGAATAACTGACTCAGTTAAACTGTTAAAGGGGAGAAGAAGTAGCTGAAGAATCTAATTGTTTTAAATCCCAGGATTTTATACACATAGTCTTTGTCAAATATCACATCTATTGCCCTGCAAACCATTCATCTGGCTGGTGAAGTATGTGTTTTTCCTCCAAAATTCATAGTTTACAAAGAGAAAAGGCAGGTACTTATAACTAGTGGAAGGGTATCATTTACCCTAAGAGAAACTATATTTTATTTGAGAATTGGTGTAAGATCACCTACCAGAATCACCTTTTCCAAATGAGTTGCTTTGCACCAGTAAAACATGCCGCTGCTATCAAGATAGTCAGAATCTTCCTTGAGAAAACTCCTAAATAAGAAGAATGGAGAGTTAGCCTGAGGCCACATGGGGCTCTGGTGAAACACGGCCAAGATGTGGAATTAATTAGAACCTGAGCCCAAAGTGAAGAATAACCTCTGGTCTCTGACACTCCAGAACAGGACACCAGGAGCTGAATGTCCAGACTACATCATAGCTCAAGACCTACTATATACTTTTGGCAAAAGTCACAAGGATTTTGTGGTGTGTGCATGTGTGTGTGTGCACATCTCTGTGTGTTTAACAGACACATCAGTCCTTTTACCTTAGTTTATATATGCTTTGAAGGTAGTTATTTCTACTCTTAATTTTCCCCTAAGCAATCTACATAATAAAAGGCCAATGGCCATAACAACCAAAATGACCAAACGGTCACCAGGAAGTGCATGGAGCACCTCTTGGTCCCTCCCCTGTGGCCCACAGGCTCCTATCACAGCAAGACTGGCAGCTGGAGGGCGGGCGGGGTGGCAGGGGGAGTGGGCGGGGGAGACAGGCGAGGCGAGGTCATTATGCCTCTGGCCTGGGGGCGGGCCAGAGGTGTAACAACCTCACTGCTGCCAAGGCGGCTGTGGATCAGATCTGGAGAGAGGCCTGGAGAGAGAGGTGGGGCCTGATCCCTAACCACCATGGCTGCTGGCGAGGCCTAGAGAGAGAGAGAGGCAGAGCCTGATCTGCAGCCTCCGTGGAGGCTTTGGATCAGGTCGGGCTGAGGGACACCCTCCCATGCATGAATTTTGTGCACCGGGCCTCTAGTAGTATCATAATGATACTATTGCTTAGGGTAAATCATGAGAGGTGTTTGGGGAACTTGAACATAAAATTTTAAAGTCTGTGAGATCAAGGCATGGGTAGCATCTCTCTCCTTAGTCAGTTTTCCTCCCCTCTCCTTTTGATGCCTTTCCTATGGTTCTCTGTTGAAACATCCTTTCTGATTAAATGCATTTTGCATTATTTACAGCTTCCATCACTGACCAGAATTTGACTAGACTCTGCTCTAATCTTGATCTAGATCTTGGCAAAGCCCTCCACGTGATCACCCCATACTGCCATTAGGCACAATGTTTATCATATAAAATATTCAATCACTAAAAAGGGTTAGACAATCTTTTGAAAAATTTCACTCACATCCTAAGGAATGAATATTTGCTTGTTAGAGAATAAAAGACACTCTTAAAATCACATAAAATTTAGTATTCAAAAGGACCCATTTAAGTCAAGAGAATCTAGGAATAGTATGCAGAAATGACATCAAAATACCAGGGGCTTAATGCAACACTGGTTATTTCTTACCTATAATAACTCAGTTGAACAGATGGGTCTGCTCCACACAATCATTCAGAGTCTTAAGGGGACAGAGGCTCTACCATCTTAAGGTGACACACTTGGCACATATATCCTCCTCAGTCATTAAAGCAAGGGAAGAGAAAGGAACTGGAGAATCAAGCCCAGGTATTTACGCTGTGGCCCAAAGTGGCATACATCACTGCTGCTCATATTTCATTGGCCAGAACTAGTCACATGGCTCCTGCTAACTTTAAGGGGGGTTAGGAATGTGGGAAGCAATTGAAATATTTGATGAGCATTTCTGTTTCTGCCAGAGATTTTAAAGAACACCCTTTATTTTATGGATAAAAGACACAGAGCTAACAAATTATAAAGCTAGCATTTGAATATAATGCTGAGGTTGAGATTACTGGGGCTCACAATATCCAATTCTTTCCTTCCTTAGGATATAGGCCTTGGGAAGGGGCCACATGACCTGTTTTGGCCAGTGAAATGTGAGAAGTGATGGCCGACACAGTGAAAGCCCCCATGCTATTCTCAGGCTCTCCCTAACCTGCCATAGAGATGACCAGCCTGAGTACATGAGTGACTGTGTGGAAGAGAGTGCCTGGCCCACTTGACCTGTGTTGGACATGCAACATGAACAAGAAATACACACTTGTTGTGCTAAGCCACTGGGATTTCATTAATTGCTACCACAGCATCATAAGTCCATCCTATCTTAACACAAATGCCTTTTCTAAAAAACATGTTCTGTGGAATATCAGTAACAGGAGAAGCTCTAAGGAACTGTGTTCTGTAGTCCAATAAATTTTGAGTAAAGTATCACCTCTTTGAGATCCACACTACACTTTAGCATATGAAGGTTCTGAAAAGCTTTGCAAAAGTAAAATCCTTTAACGTTTGTATAAAAACAGTGTTTTACACACTTATTTCACCAAAAAAATCTTTTACAGTTACTTATGTACTCACTTATTTCATTATATTTAAAAATATCTTTTACTATCCCTTAAAACCCCTTTTGAGATACACTATACTGTCTTATGCTATAGGTTCTGCCCTGGTAATCAATAGCTTATGACAGAATTCTCCTGTGAGGTTTTATTGTACATCCTGGGAACAATACAACTGATTTCTCTCTGTGCTAAGGGTTAGGGGTTCTCCCTGTGAATTAATATAGCTTATAATTCAACACCTGGCCCAAAGTCTCAGACTCCAACAAAATGACAAGCCATTTATTTTCTCTTTTTACCAGGTTAGTTTCTAAATTGCTATCTTAAGTCATATTTCTTTCAGACAAAATAACTCAGGTAAACTGAGATTGAGGCATCAGACCTAAAGTGATTGGACAGAGAGAAGACCCAGATGGAGAAGCTGGAGTGGGAGGATTGGGGCACTGCCAAAGGGTTTGGAAAAGTATAGAGGCTAATTGTTAATGAGACCAGCCAAGGCCTAGGTTCAATCCTTATTTTCCCCTCCATTTAAGACCTACTTATAACCTTCTAGTCATTTACCTAGCCAGAAGATGTTGTGATGTAAGCCTCAAAGTCAGCTTGACCAGAATGGGTTACCTTGTTCATTTGAATTAACATACCTTTTGGTGGGTTTAAATATCCTTAAGTCATGAGCCCCCAACCCAGAATCCTAAGAGCCACACAGGCATTCTCTCTCTCTCTCTCTCTCTCTCTCTCTCTCTCTCTGTCTTTATCTTTATTGTTGAAAGTATTAAATATGTCCCCCTTTTCTCCCCATTGACCCCCTCCACCTACCCCCTCCCCTCCCCAGGCTTCCCCACACAGGTTCTCTTAATGGTACCAGACAGAACCATGGTGATGGCTTTATGCAAAGGTTGTTAAAGGCAACACAGCTAGAGCCCAAGTCTGGTTTTGATGCTCATCAGAATTTGGAGAACTGACTATGTTACTACTCATTCATAGAACCTTATTTTCTCTCCATGTGTAGTTTCCTAAACACCTTCCCTCGGATGCTGAAATAATGTACCAAGTTCCCTTTAGGGAGGTGGCTTCCCACACACTGCCCTCAGCACTACTTTCCTTCTGGTCACTTTCTTCAGCTTTTCCACACTTCTCCTCCTCAACCCTCCCACCCCCCATCCCACCCATAATGAATGAAGAGTCTTTAATCTGAAAATTAAATGCCCTTTTGGCAAATGGAAGATATTCTTCTCCCAAGCATATTTTAACTTGACTCAGAATAGCAAATCATTCACTATACACTTTCCTTTCATAATAAAAGCAAGATCTATGTACACAAGCTGTCACAGACAGCTTTCTTCATTCTTCATTCATTTCTTTTTTCCTTCTGATGTTATGGAAAACAGATATGCCTCAGAGGAAACACCTGTTGGAGACCTTCGTAAAAGAAAAGGCTGGAGGAGACCCACTTCATCACAAAGGCATCCATCTGGTGTCCTTGCCAAAGCAAAACCTGATGTAATTTAGTTCACCATGCCTTAACTAAAGCTCCCTTCTGCCATATGTCTTGAAAATGACATGATCCTTGCAGAAATATACCTTCCTAAAGAGACTAATAAATCATCTATGAGAATGTGCAGTATTAGCAGTCTTAGAACTTGGAAACAGGGATTATACCATAAAGGCTGGCACTATGGGAGGAAAAGGTAGCCACACAGCACCATCCAGGTCATTCAGAACAAAAGAGAAAAGCCACATCCTGACCACAGGTAGAAGCTTCCCAGGTGAGGGGGCTTTCCATGTCAGATAGCCCAGCAAGGAACACAGTGGGAACTATCTGAGAAGGCCCTCAGTAGAACATCTGTGGGAGAAAGGTGGGTTGATTTACTGATTACAAGATAGACTTCTTATTGTAGAAGCAATGCATGGTACTTCCATCTGGCATCGTCCAAGAGGCTTTGAACCTTGAACTATCCTTAGTCATGTCTCTGACATCCACCTCTGAAAGCTGACAGGTCACGTAGGGTGGGAGAGAATAGCTCTTATAGCCAGGACGCTTGTGGATGTGCAGAGCAGCGTGTGAATGAAGCCTGCAGCTGTCTTTGTGGATGACTGCCTTTCTTCAGGCGGCCTTCCTGCAGGAAGCCAATGTGCTATGAGCACACATTTGAACACGTGTTGTATTTAGTGACAGGGCTATTCAGTTTGTTCTCAACAGAGGATGGCAGGCTCTTTCCTTTAAGCTTCGTGGGACTATTTTGAAGAGAATTATTCTGCCATGTCCATACTAACTTACCTTGTATCAATTCTACCACTTAAAGGGGAATATAAATGAAGGACAATGTGCCTTTGGTTTACAATTGTGGCTTACTCTCTTTCTGATGGGAAAGAGAATAAACCATGCAGAAAAGCCTCTATTAAGAAGGTGGCTAGGTTTCAGTGCTGGGTCATTGTTTCCTCCAACTTATAGACTTGACTCTGATTATTCTTGAAAATGATCAGCCAATGGGTGAGATCCTCCACTGCCCACAATTCCTATTAGAAAGTTCAAAAGTTACCTATGTTTTTGTGTGTTTTTTATTTTTTATTTTACAGGCCTCATTTTTGGATGTGATTGCAAATCCTGGCTTGTGACCATTCCATTTGAAACCTTAAAACCCCATTGGCTGCTTGTAAATTCTTAGCAGAGAGTTTTCTGGCCTGGACGCAGAAAAACATATCTTTTGCTCAAGACTTGAGTTAAATAAAATTAACAAGTTTCACAAAGTCTTA